GGTCTTCCCCTGTCGTTATGTGCACGTATATGTGGTCGAATAATTCGCAGCAACTCCTGAAAAGCATCCTTTGTTAACCTATATCTCCTCCTAAATTGCTCATCGTCCTACGTGTCTATATTGAACGTACATGTCTTCCGTTTATTTCTGTTATTGAATATAATATTATCGACGGCATTCAGTCTATTTAGCCATCTGCCGGCCATGTTTTTATGACATACACACTCGTGAGGGCAGGTCAAGGGAGGTATACATTTCACTCACACTTCACTCCATTTTTAGGCCTCATTGGAGGGTGAGTAACGTCTTTGAATGACTGGAGGGTGAGTGTAACAATTAACTCAATGAGTTCGAGGGGGATCTCATTGAGTTGTAAGTTTCACTCATTGAGCATAAGCGTCCACTCGTTAAGTGTGAGTGTGAGTGAGCTTTTAGAATACAGGCGTAAGGCTTGTAAGTAGTAAATATTAAGCAAATATTTTTAGTTTTTTTGACGAATGTTCTTCAAGATGATATTCTGACTCACAACCTACATCAGAAATGCAAGAAATTTAAAGGATGCATTGCACAAGACAAAACGCTTGTTCAAACTGGAGACGCATTTGTGTATTTAAACTCGAACAATGAGGTATATAAGATAATAATCTATATATACAAAGAGTCATTATGAGTGTTAATTAACTCTTAAAGCTGCATTGTGCCCCAAATGTGCCAGCCCTATGGTACTTTTTTATGGAGTTTGGACAAAAACCAGATGATTTGCTTCTTATTGGAAATTCTTCTTATTTTTCTTTCCATGAAAGCTATTTAAACTTGTACACTGGTAATCTGGTATGCTTGTAAACAGCTAGTGCATTCAAATATGCCATATTATGGCATTAAAAGTCAAAATATCATCTTGAAAATATTTATCACAACAAAGTTTTTTGGGGCGTTTGTTTTCTTTTATATCAATGGAACACTAACTAAAGGCCGGGTTTGCTGCAATTGATGCAGTTATGTCTCCAATAAGTATTATAATAAAAAGAATATTAACAGTTAAGTTCATAATAAATAAGATCAATAAATTTTGTATCATTACAGATTTGTTTTGGAAGGTTTGACTAAGCAGTCCAAATTTCTGGTGAAGGACATGTCAAAAACTGGATTTTAACAACACCAATCTACCCATTAAAAGATGAACTTAGTGATGTCATTCATGGAAAATTCATATGCCCCGTTCTTGAGGAGAGTGAAGAAAAAGATCTGGTGGACTCCAATTCAATTTTGGAAAAAGTGATAAAGTCTAGTGCATAACTGTGATGGCAATTGCATGTATATGAATGGAGAAAAGCAAGTTGTTGAACAGAGAGAGATCATTACTTTGGAAAGGATTACCTACGAACATGACTATTCAAACAAGAGGTACCTCTTAAATAGGTTTTACCTTTGGGAAGCATGCCATTACATTCCTGATCAACAGCAACAATAGGCTTATTCAAAAAGCAGTTCATATTATATACAAAAATACGTATATGGTCACCATGTCTGACAAATTTCACAACTCACATGATGGAAATTTAATTGTATTTTGATGAATTTGCCAGTTGTCAGTTGTTGAAAGAAATGTACAATTAATGAATTTTCAAAGCAATTCTTTTAAGATGTTGCCGGATGAAAATTTAAAATGTTTGATGTTTGACGCTAAATTAATTCAATGGTTATAATTCTTACCTCATTAACATAAGATTGTAGATATGTGTATTACGAAGTAATCTGTATATATTTTTAAATAATTTGTACAAATTTGAGAATAGTTATTATATTATAAAAGAAGCCATTCAATGGCCGTATAAATGAATATTGTTGAATGTATAAATGACGATGCTTGTTACAGCATCGTCACAACAAACTTGCAACAAGTCTGTCAACAACTTGCTACAAGTCCGTCGCAACAACTTGGGACAAGCGGTGCAAATAAACGTTGCAATAAGCTTGTTGAAACGAGCTTGCGACAAGCTTGCTGCAGGCTTGTTACATCTCGTGCGTTTTTACGTGTGTTCTAGCATAGCGGTGAATATCCCCGCCACGTCATACGTGTCAACAGCCATGGCTGAAGGATGTTTGAATTTACGCTCCGATGTTGACAACGTTTTAGAAGAGCTATCTATTGTAGTTGATGAAACTAATGAAGAGAAAAGTAAAAGCCAAATCGCTACTTATATTGTAGTAAGAGATAACGGTAAAATTAAATGGAATGGTTCCTTCGAAAAGCTTAAAGTGCCTAGTGAAACTCTTCATGTTTACATTATAAAAGACGGCGTGTTTGCAAATCATTCCTGAGTCCCAGTCCCCTCAACCGACGTATTTTCGAAACTATTTAATTTTATCAAAAAAGGTTGTAGAACTTATAAACAAATTTTTCAAGCCCTATTCAAATCCGTAAAGATCCCACAAGTGATATAGGCACTTTAAAGAGCTCATGGCTGAATTAAGGTGGCTCGCTACAATTTTTTAAAATATGGAAAACTTGTGGTTTTTATTAAAAATTTTAGCACGAGATTTCTTGCTAAGGAAAAGAAATTTCCCGGAAATATTAACCAACATTCTAACAGTCAGAAATTGCCCATAAGCATGACGTCATTACCGTTGTTATGGTAACAATGGCGTTTCAATATGGCCGACATTTTACCTATTCACGCATTTTACTCGAAAACAAGTTCGGTGACCCCAATTTTTTATTTTATAAAAAGTTTTCTTACAAAAAAAATGGAAAATTTGAACCAGTTAAAAAAAATTCTATAGAGCCAAAATTATTAAAAATTAAAAAACGTGACTTTTCGTTATAGAAATTTTTTGGCTGTATAGAATTTTTTTAAACTTGCTCAAATTTCCCATTTTTTTGTAAGAAAACTTTTTATAAAATAAAAAATTGGGGTAACCGAACTTGTTTTCGAGTAAAATGCGTGAATAGGTAAAATGTCGGCCATATTGAAGCGCCATTGTTACCATAACAACGGTAATGACGTCATGCTTATGGGCGATTTCTGACTGTTCGAATGTTGGTTAATATATCTGGAAAATTTCATTTCGTTTTGCAAGAAATTTCCTGCCAAAAATTTCAATGTAAATCATTAGTTTTCAATATTCTTAAAACTGTAGGGAGCCACTTTAACAGGTCAGCATGCCTGGTGTTTAAGCGGTGGTGACTGTAAAATGCTAGTTCTAAAGGAAGCAGAGGTGAGATGGTATGCAAAGAATAAATCACTGACTGTTAATGGAAACAAGAAAGAAGAAATTACATCAAAACTCCGTGCCCTATCGAATGTAGTAAAGTCGGGAAGTATTGAATCCACAGCGCGTGACGATCAGAAAGCCGCTCAACATTATGTGAAATATCGAAGAAAAAGTCTGCAGTGAACTAAGCAATTCTAGAAGCGAAATTTCTGATTTAAAATCCAACCTGAACTCAGAAAAAACATGGCGTGACAAACATAACGTCGCTGATACGGACTGTGAACAATCCAGTACAGCAATTAGGGAATTCTTTATAGAGGAAAATCCCTATGTCAAAGAACAGAATGAGAAACTAAACGATGAACTGAATAATTATAAATGCGTAGCTTCAGACTTTAACTGAAAGTTAAAGAGCTAGAAGATCAAAATAGCAACTTAACCATGGTTATTAAATTGATAAGAAATGAACAAGCAAATAGTTGTGAACAAGATCCATGGAAATTAGCAAATAATGATAAAAGGATTTCTCAATAACAAGCACCCAAACAGCAACAAAAGCGACAGGAAAAGCGACAACAACAGCCAAGTCATTATCAGCAACGAAGTGGAGCTATTAATCTAATCCCTGAAGCAGGAAAGTCTCTCAAAAATACTCAGACCGAAGCGAGTGAGAAAGAAGTAATCCCTGAAGCAGGAAATTCTTTCAAAAATCAAACCAAAGCGAGTGAGAAAGAAGTACAAGTTGTCGAAGTAGAAAAACCTGTTGAAACTACTCAGGAAACGCAAGTTATTGAAGTAGAAATGCCTAATGGTGCCCCTCAGAAAGAAACAAATGGCCAAGGTCTCGACAAGCTAGGCGATAAACGGAAGTCAGTATTAATCATTGGTGAATGAAAAAATATAGACCCCTGAAAGCTCTCCAAAAAAACAGTACATAAACGATCCTTCCCTGGTAAAAGAATCGAAGAAATCGACGACCAAATAGACTTATAGAACTTATATATGAATGAACATTGAAAAAGCAATCATATCTCACTTGATATTGAAGTAAACAAGAAGTCCACATATACTTAATAATAATAATGAAGAATTACGTGCATCCAAATTCTGCTCGATGCGATAAAAGTGAAATCGATTTATTCGATATTCCTACCACACAACTAAGTTTGGAAAAAGGACGATGGATTGATTATCATGCTCTCTCTAGTGTGGAAAATGACGACGGACTTATTATATTTTTAACGGCTGGCACCGAAGATTACATCGATATGTCAAAAATGATTCTTGTGGTTGAACTAAAAATTACAAAATCTGATGGAACCCCCTTAGGTGGTGGTGAACAATCAAGTGTGGCTCCTATTAACAATTTCTTGCACAGCTTGTTTAAACAAGTCGATGTTTACTTGAATGGAAAACAAGTCACCCCCGCCATGGGTACTTATGCTAATCGTGCCTATTTGGAAACCCTCCTAAACTATGATGTATCGGCGAAAAAATCTCAGCTCACCTCTGCATTATACTACAAAGATACCCCTGGACATATGGACAGTACTGGAAGTCTTCCAACGGAAGAATCGGTTGAAGTTGTTGTAAATCATTCAAAAACTGATACTAGTGGTAAAACTTGGGGCGATCCCACAAAAAAAACTCTGAAATTCTTAGTACCTGGAAGTGGAAATCAAGGCTTTGCAAAACGCCATAAATTTATTCAAGATGGAAAACTGTTGGTAATGGCAGGACCTATTTTTTGCGATGCATTTATGGTCGATTGATTATTGCTTAACATGGTGGATCTCAAAATAGTCATAAATCGAAACTCTGACAAATTCTGTTTGATGGATAAAAATGCAAATCTTATGAATGCTAAAATCAAGCTCATGGATGCAACTTTTAAAGTGCGTAAAGTTAAAGTCAGCGAAACTATCAGTAAAGCACACGCGTTAGATTTGAGATCAGTACCTGCCACTTATCCTATACGTCGCGTGGAATATAAAGCTTTTACCATTCCCGGAAATCTTCCACAGATAAGAAAAGATAATATGTTCGCAGGGATCATTCCTAAGACATTTGTATGTGGATTTGTGGACGCTGATGCTTTCAGCGGAGTCTATGGAAAAAATCCATATAACTTTCAACACTTTAATGTGTCGTCGGTGACATTAACTGCAAACGGTGAAGAAATACCCTTCAAACAACTTGTCCTTAACTACAAAGAAAACAAAGAGAGTTTCATTCAAGCGTACAACACATTATTCTCTGGTACAGAAAAAATGAACTATAACACAGGTGTCGATATCTCTAGAGAAGATTATTTCAAGGGATTCACCATTTACGCATGGGATCTCACTCCAGATATGTGTGGTGCCTCTCCTTATTTTAATACAGTACAGCGAGGATCGTTGACACTTGACATCACGTTTGCTGCAGGGGATGTTCCAACTAATCCTTTTTCCTTGGTATGCTATGGAGATTTTGAAAATGTTATACAAATCGATTCCGAAAGGAATGTAATCTACGATATATCTTCATGAATACTAACCAAATCAAGAACGTACTTGAACATCATCCTATAACTAAAAAATATTTTTGCGGAGTATTTGCTGCAGATGAAATACCTAAATATTTAAATACTTTTCCATGTGGATTTGTTGTCAATACCGACCCTAGTTCAAAACCTGGGATGCATTGGGTCGTTTTCTACTTCTCCTCTAAAGATAAGGGAGAATTCTTCGATAGTTATGGAAAACCTCCTCATTACTACAAAGATTTATTCAGACCCTCTTTTGAAAATCTCAAATGGAATAGGCGTACCTTACAAAGTCATTGGACCGAAGTATGCGGACAATACTGTATTTTCTATTTATATCAACGATGTCGTGGATATACCATGAACAAAATTGTAAACATGTTTACAGACAATACGTCGTGAATGATTGTGAAGTGGCATGCTATGTTAAGAAACATTTTAATGATGTTATATCTAACCAACCCGTTTGTGGGCTTAGTCAATGTTGTAAAAAATTACTTTGAAAAATAAAAATAAAGACATTTTTTAATAAAAAATTGTATTTATTCAAAAAAAAATTTAATACATCCTTTAATAACAACTTCATATTTTTCATTTTTCACTATACACTGGAAGTCCAAAAGGTCTCCTTTTTGCTTCATAGCGCTTATAACCTCCTTTTTAGTTCACCTTCTTCCTCTTCATCGTCTTCCTCTTTATCTTATCATCTTTCCTTTTTTGAACCCTCCTCGTCCTCGTTTTCTTCATCGAAAATCTTTTATGGGACGATCGTAGCCCTAGCCAGTCCCGTTGCATAAAAATAATTCCCCCTTTTTGACTCTTCTTCTTCTTATCACTCTCCTTATTGTCCTTAATAAATCTATGTATTTATCCTTGCTCTCTGCATTTTTCCATCTCTCGTCGTTTCTCACCAAATCTCTTGGAGCATTAATCTTATTTAACACTCGAAAAAACTCACGTACACCCTCTGGATTAAAAGATTTACGAAATCTCATAGCATCCGAAATCAAATCGGAGATATTAGACTTTGGGATAAAAACACTATCCAACTTAACTTGTCCTGTATTATCCCATGAAATAATCTCAGGTCTTGTTTTCAAATGTTCTAAAAGAGCTAAAGCTCTTGCCTTCGTGGTCTTTGGAATCCAACGTACAATTACATCATCCGTTAACTCGCTCTCCGGTTCAAATGAATTTTCAGTCTGACCTCCTAATTGTTCACTCTCACGTTGTTCATAACGTAAAAGTCTCCCCTCGGGAAATAATACCATACGTTTCATGAATAAAAATAAAATTTTAGGCAAGCAAAACAGATAAAGCTAACGGTACTAGTATTGAAAGAACACCACTATCCTTTTGAACAAGGAACTTTCTCTTCCTCTTAATTGAAACGTTCTTCTTCACTAGAGCTGGTAGTTGTTTCTTGTAGCGTGTCAAATAACGTTTCTGACGTGGAGTTATTTCAATCACTCTTTTAAGGGCATTTAAAACAATCTCGCAAATTGCTAAAATTAAATGGGGTGATCCGTATTGAAAAATGGCTTTTTGTACTTGCGGTTTTGATCTTGCTAGCACTTGAATAAACGAAAGAGTTCTTTCTATATATACTCTGACATCTTGTAAATGAAGTTCTATTAAAGAACAGATTAATTATATATTAATTACAAGATTTAAAAGCACATCAACATCCACCGGAACACTTATGTTGGAATCAATTGTGAATGTCATCTCGGTAACAATGTCCGACTCAATTGGAATCACAGGATACAATTGGATACATCTTTGCAACTCTTCTTCCCTTCGTACCACTGTTTGACAATCTTCTCCCACCTCATAATGTAACGAAAATTGATTCTTTAAAAAACCCACACATATTTATACATCAAGGCCCCGTTTACACTATACCGGATTACTTTCCATACCGAATTAATTTTCACTCCGAAGCAAAAAATAAGGGTGTTTACCCTATGCCGGATTGCACCGTTTCGCTTTGTTACCAGCTCATCACTTTTTGATGTTGCCATAGAACAAAGCCAGTTTCCCGCTAAATACTGTCTGAGTCATTCTCGTAAGGCACGACTTGGCTCACAAATTTCGCCCCAAAATAAGTTTTGTACCGGATTGGTCTGTTTACACTGCTCCGATACATACCGGATTACTTTTTATATCACCTCAAAACCGGAGTGATTTTCGCTCCGCGGCATGTACCGGATTACAGTGGAGTAGTGTAAAAAGCAGCCCAATCCTGTACGATAATGGCTGCGCTCCGATGCAATCCGGTATAGTGTAAACGGGGTCTTAATAACACGTGTCTCTTTAATAAAAAACACGTACCTTTTTATAAAAACACATCTTTTTAATCGATATCGTGATAATACGGTATTAAACGAGCTAAATAAACCCTTGCTATTTTGTTCTGTCTCCATAACTCTCCATCACATCAAACCATCACATCCCATAACACGTCGTCAATATCTGTACATAATTTATTCACCCAATAAGGACCATGAACATGAATAAAATTCGACTCACGATTCGCTCTTATATCCATGTAAACACTCTTAACCGCATCACATATTAATTTATATTCATTCCGTAATGACTATCTTCAATTTGAGCAATGGAGTCGCACTTAATCATCCCTTTCGGTAGTTGTTCACGAATTTGAACAGTCTTAATCAGGCAGAGGATTTTGAATCTATCCCGGTACAAAACAAGTCAAAAATATATAAAAAGAAACGTTTATTCTTGAAACACACTATGTCGTACAAAAAATGTTTTTATCAACCACACTTAATTATTATGCTCGCGCCCAGTTTTTTGTTCGCGTCGCCCCATTCCCCCGTGCAACTTTGGGGTATGGGATTAACTATAAATTCCAAAACATCCCCCTCCCGAATGTGATCACATTCGTAACAGAGTCAAAATATTAATAAGGTTAGCAAGTTTAATTATTGTTTGTCGCTTTCGTTTCCGTTGTCCCGTTCTAGCGGACACAGCCGGTGTACAGGACGGATATATTCGTTGTCTCCTACTCGAATCTTTACGACTCTGATAAGTCCATCACCTCCTCAATAGATCTCCTGGATACGTCCTAGAGGCCATTCATATCGCTTAGCGTTTTGATCCACCACCAAAACAACATCTCCGGGTTTGAGCTCTCTCTTCGGTTCGAACCACTTTCCTCTTACGTTGAGGCTTGGGAGGAACTCTTTACGCTATCTTTTCCAGATCTGAGCAATTAGTTGTTGAATACGTCTCCAACGTTTCTTGGGGTTAAAGGCTTGTTCGGGGGTGACGTCAGGAGCGAATTGTCCACCTAGTTGCCCAACCAGGAAGTGGCTAGGAGTCAGTGGTTCCAGGTCGTCGGGAGTTGAGCTGACATAGGTGATTGGTCTTGAATTAAGGCGTCCTTCTGCTCCACAAATCGCTGTATGTAATTCTTCGTCGGTAATGTCAGCGCAGGGGTGGATCCAGCACTAGTGCACTAATTTGCATGACACAAGAAAACTGCTAAAAATAACCATTTTGTTTTGTGATGCAAATTAGTGCACTAGTGCTGGATCCACCCGTGTGTCAGCGTCTCCTAAAATTGCTCTCATCGCCTTCTTTGCACTCTTAATCATACTCTCGAAGACTCCTCCAAAATGTGGAGAGGAGGGAGGGTTGAATTTCCACTCGATTAACTGGTGTCGAGTCGTCTTATTCATTATCTTCTGCTGATCGAAGCTCTTGACTTTTTCTCGTATTTCCTTCTCTCCAGCCACGAAATTCGTCCCGTTGTCCGAGATAACATAAGAAGGCGTCCCCCTCCGTGCACATAACCGCACAAATGCGTTTATAAACGAATCGGTGTCTAAGCTGTACGCCATTTCCAGGTGGACTGCGCGGGTAGTTAGACAGGTAAACAGGCAAAGGTATCGTTTCATCCGCGGCTTCCCATGTCCTTGTTTCGTCAGAAATGGTCCGGCGAAATCTGTGCCAATTCGTTCAAATGCTCTTAAGGGTAAAGTTATTCTTGAAGTAGGCAGGGGAGCCATTTTTTGACCACAAGGCTCGTGAGGAATCTTCGTCTGCATCCAGGACATTTACCAATTAGGGTTCTAACTGTCAATCTTCCTATTATAATCCAAAATCTCGAACGAAGTTCTGTCAAGAGGTATTCTGTTCCCGTTCCGTGTCCGATCTTTTCGTGAGCAGCAAGTATAACCAGTCGGCTTATCGGATGATCTTTGGGCAATATGATTGGATGTCTTGTGTCGTAAGGTAAATCTTCAGCAAGGCGGAGGCGGCCATCCACTCTTAATATGCCTTCTTTGTCGACTATAGGGCAGAATTTCAATAGGCGTTTGTCCTTTTGTTTGTTGACGAAACTTTCGACTTGTGCTTTTCGGATCCAGAACAGTTCCACTGTTTTAATCTCGACGTTTTGCAGAACAATAGACGTAGCTCGTGAATTTATCGGGGACTTACAATTCTTGATAAAACGTTTAACCCAGGCCGTAACTCGAATAAGGCGGGTCATAGATGAATAACGTTTTGGATCGAGGCGGCTGTCGTCACTGGCTTCCTTATTCGTTGTATAAACTTGGACTTTCTTTTCTTCTTGTTTTACCGTGCCACTACATGGACCGTGATTCGATAATTTCTCTGGCCATGGTTTTTCTTCATCCGTTAAAAACTCTGGTCCTTCCATCCATAATTTGTCTTCACAAAGGTTGGTTGCTAAAGTCCACGAGTTGGTATGTCGGCTGGATTTATTCCACCAGGTATGTGTCGCCATTGTTCTGGGTTGGAATGTCTCTGTATCTCTGCCACTCGATTGGCCACAAATGGCTTGAATGCACGGCTCTGGTTACGCACCCAATACAGGACGTTCCTTGAGTCCGTCCAGTACGTTGCTCCATTGACTGTCAATGTCTGGAGAATGCTGTTGGCCAGTCGGGTGGCGAGTACTGCTCCCATGAGTTCCAGTCTTGGGATAGTAACTGACTTTAGTGGCGTGACACGACTCTTGGATGCGAGGATCCGTGAGGTGGCTTCGTGATCTTCGTAATTACTGACAAGATAAGACACTGCTGCGTAAGCATCTTGGGATGCGTCTGAGAAGGTGTGCAACCAGACGTCCGTAGGTCCAGGCAAGCGTAGAGGGCGAGGGACTTCGAATCCGTTTAAGTCGCTCAGTTCTTTTACCCAGTTGTTCCATTCATTGCACAAATTTTCTGGCATTTTGTCTTCCCAACCAATTCCAGCTGCCCATGTCTTTTGCAACAATAATTTCGCTCGTATAGTGAAGGGAGCCAAAAACTGTAATGGATCAAACAGCTTTGCTATACTACTCAGGACTTCTCTTTTGGTCGGGCCTTCAGTCAGCGATGGAGGGTGAACCACGAACTTGAAGATATCTTGCCGGGCATTCCACAGAACTCCCAGGGTCTTCAACATCGGCAGGCTACCATCACTGAGCTCTAATCCGGGAAGACGATCTTCAACAGGAACATCTTTGATAACATCAGCCTGGTTTGACATCCATTTCCTCAAATTGAAGCCTGCGCCAGACACCAACTCGGATGTTTGTTGTCTAAGGGTTATGGCTCCCTGAACCGTCTCGCAAGAGTCCAGCACATCGTCCACGTACATTGCATTATCCACTGTATCTGCGGCTTTCGGAAAGTGATCTTTATTCTTCTCCGCGTGGGAGTGAAGTACATATTGTGCGCAGAATGGTGAATAGGTATTTCCGAATGGTAGACGCTGGAACTCGTAAATTTCGGGTTCTCTTTCTTTGTTCAAATCACGCCAAAGGAAGAGATGAAAAGGTCGATCTTTCTCGGCAAGTCCGACTTGTAAGAACATCTGAGAGATATCTGCTGACACTGCCACGGGTTCTCTTCGGAACCTGGTTAACACGTCTACCAATTCTCGTTGGAGCTTGGGCCCAGGGTGAAGCGCGTCGTTCAGACATTTGTTTTTGTGCTTCGCTGCCGCATCAAAGACGATTCGAACTTTGGTCGACGTTTTCTCCTGATTGATCACCGGAAAGTGCGGCAACAACCACTGGTCACCCGTTTTCTTTGGTACTTTCTTGATGTACCCTTTCTGGAGGTAATCCAGGATTATCTGGTTGTAGGCCATAGCGACATCCGGTTTTTTTCGTAGGGATGACTCCAGCTTCAGTAGTCTTGAATGAGCCATGTCGTAGTTGTCGGCGAAATCTGGCTCACCATCTCTCCAAGGAACACCTACTTCATATCTCCCGTTGGTGTAATTTTGGGTTGATTGCACAATTTCAACTGCCTTTTTCTCGTCTGGTGTCAGTGGTCGAACGTTCTCGTCCTTAATGCCGATGGCTTCTAGTTCCCAAAAACTCCGAAGATTGTCACTTACTTCTTGGATATCTTCGGTATGGTATGTACATGTCATGTGGGATTGGGTAGTCCATGTCGACGGGTTCTTACTCGTTGGACCGAAGCAGACCCAACCGAGGGGCGTTTGTCGTGCTACTGGGTCTTTGGCATTGTGTCCCGTAACTTCTCTTAATACTTTATGGAATAAATACCATTCACCAATGGGTGATCGCTTCCGATTAAAACATCGATCTGCTTTCGCTTTGAAACTCTTTCAAATGGGATGGTCTCCAAGTGTGCCCAATTGCCCTTTAATTCGTTCCACTCAATTGCCGGCGTGTTCCCCGTTACGTTAGTTAACACATTTGCTTCCACAGGCGATGAGAAGGTTCCATTGACGGATGTGATCACACACTTTACACGTTTCGACTGTCTCTTAATCTCCGTCCCACCAGTTCCTGATATGGTCAAATCCTGTTTTTCTCCTTTCAAGTGCAATTCTCCCACTAGGCTTTCGGTGACGTATGATCCCGTGGAGCAAGGATCCAGCATAACATTGATTTTTATCTTCTTGCCGCCAATTTCGACAGTTGCTGGGAGAACCATCAATGATATTTGTTCAACTCGGTTTGTCGTATAGGTTCTTGCATCTGTCCCTCCAATTGAAGGATTGGTCTGATCTTTGTTGTTGTCATTATCTTCATTCTGTTTTTCCATTCTCTCAGGGTCGTGTAACAAGCTGCTATGTCCTTTACTTTCACATCCGCTGACTCCACATTTTCTCTTTCTGCCACACTGCTTACTTCGGTGACCAGCCGCTAGACAAGAGAAGCACCGTCCTGTTTTAGCTATTAGTTGATTTCGTGTAGCTACAGGGAGCTTTTTAAATTCTGGACAAACCCAAGGCGGATGATCAGCGTCGCAATTCATAACGATACATTTCCTAACTTTCTTATCTGTATTAAAGCCTTGATTATGACGTCGTCCTCCATGGTACGCTTTGACGAATTCTTCCGTTTCTTCCTTAGCCTCATCCATGATGCAAACACGCCTCTCGATCCACTGGACCAGCATTTTAAAATCATCATCTTCATCCCGCTCATTTAACCAATACTTGTATTCTCTGACGTATTCCACTGAGAGTTTTTCCTTCACTGTTAAGCAAAGGTGCTGACTTCTAATTTCATCATCACCACGATCATCGTCTTGTAATGCGATAAGAATACGGTCTAACGTTGACAACAAGGTTTCTAATTCTTCCAGGTTATGGCGTCGTACTTTGGGTAGTGCTCTTAAGGCTGCCAAATGTGTCAGGGTCTGTCTACGTTTACCACCATACTTGCGTTGTAACTTTTCTTTCGCTCTCTCGTACGCATGCTGAGTGAATCCAAGGTCCTTGACCGTCTCTAACGCTTTTCCTTTCAGGCAGTTCTGCAGCCGTAGCATTTTCTCCTTTACTGGCATGTTGGTCTCATCAACAACTGATGTGAAGGCCGCGTTCCACGCCTCGAAATCGGTTTTATCATCTCCAGAGAAGTTTCGCAGCTCTACGCCTTTTAGTTTCACTCGTGTATAAGATGGGGGATCGGGATTAGGACGAGGTAGGCACATTTTAAGAGGTTCCGGATCGTCCGTCACAGATGTTGCCTTTTTGCTATTCTTGCTGTATGCTCTCGCCCTTGTTTCATTTAAAAGGGCAATGGATCGTGCATCCTCGACTCTTTTTCGATTGAGTTCAACTTCATCTGCTTTCTTTCGCATTTCTTCCTCTAGAGATCTCTGCTCTTCCTCTAATTTTTCTAGTCGTTCATTAGCATCCCTTGCTTCTTGTTCTCGAACTTCAACAATTGAGTCCTCTTTCACTGACTTTGGGATCTTATCATTTGAGGAACTGGTTATGTTTGATTTCACAGATGATTTACTTGATTTTATTGTTGACGAGTCCGATTCATTTTCGCCCTTCAATAATCGCTCTCGGATATGCTCATTAGCAGCCTGGACACTAGTGTCCACTAAATCTAAAATTTCCAAGAGTTCCTGGTCTAAGTTTTCAATAACATTATCAATTTCAATCCCTTCCAATGTCTCGTCTTCACTTAATGTGACTGTCTCTTTTAATGCCTGGATTAATTTTTCAACAATGTCTCGTTCCGCAATCACTTTCTTTATTGCTCGTCTAATTTCTGTCTTAGAACTTGGGTGTCCTGTGGTCATCGCGTCAATGTGATTTCTCGCCTTAGTTAGTCTACATTTTGCTGCCTTTTTTCTGCTTTTCAAAGTCAAATATCTTGATGATTTCACGCCTACCTGACTATTAACGTCCTCTTCTATATTTTGATTACTCACTTGGCCACTATCCAGTCCCGTATTTAACGTATTTTCAGCATCTTCGTCGGCCTCGGCCATAGTCGCTCGCTTCAAAGTCGAAGTTTTTCCGCCGAAATGACTCAAGAATCCTCGAATAAGATCCGGCTCGAAGGACCAATTGTTCACGAATTTGAACAGTCTTAATCAGGCAGAGGATTTTGAATCTATCCCGGTACAAAAATATATAAAAAGAAACGTTTATTCTTGAAACACACTATGTCGTACAAAAAATGTTTTTATCAACCACACTTAATTATTATGCTCGCGCCCAGTTTTTTGTTCGCGTCGCCCCATTCCCCCGTGCAACTTTGGGGTATGGGATTAACTATAAATTCCAAAACAGTAGTCTTATCATATCTTTAAGACGACCCCAAACATCAATGTACTCCTCGTACATATGACATATATGGGACGCAAAAAAAAATTGAAACCTCTATGCAATACTTTCCAGGTCGCATATGTGCATACCAGTGAAATTAATATAACTGGAACGCTACCTTATGACCGGAAGTTGAAGCCAAGCAATCAAGTCATCCCCAGTCTTTCCACGCAAAAACAAACACGACCAAAACAAAATATTTTGTAGCGATCTCGCAAATATGATTTTATAATAATCCAAAAAAATTGTTTTAGGGAAATAAATAACCGAGTTTGTTAGTGCTTCCAGCCGGTTGAGGCATGGTTTATGTTAGTCGATTGCATTTTTTGGAACTTTTTTATGGATATGCGGAGTAAGACTAAGAATTGCTAGGAAAGAATAGAGCGAATAAGAGCGTGAAGTTTTGCATGACCATGTAGCCGTGTTTGTTTTACCCTATAAATAACAATGGGAATGGGAATTAAATAAATATAACTATAAATATTAAGTAATGTCGTATCGAGTGCATTTTGTGATGAAATTTTAGCTTTTAGGATGTCCCAAACGCAGAAGTTTTATTTCTAACCAGTCCTTTTTTTTTTTAAAGCGCAAAAGTACTGTCTTGTTTTAGTAAAAAAGATTTAAATTGAAGTAGAAATTTATATATTTGTCACTGTATTGATTAGTAAAAATCATGCCACTCCACTGTGTCATACTTGGGTGTACAAACAGGGGTATTCCTCACCATGGACAGGATGCTACTGTAGCATTTCAAAGGTAATGGCAAGATTCTTTATTTAGACTTACATTATTTTAAAGGATGAAAATAAACCATGGAAAAAACTCTGAATGTTTAATAAAACAGATTAAATGACATTTCCTGTACAGAGATATCTACAAGCACATATTTCTACATGCTAAACTGCATTATCTTTTGCCACTCAATCGATTTTACTTTGACAATACAAAACCTATTCTTGAATTTCATATGATGTCATAAATTTAACTGAGGGTCAACTCTAGATTAACACAAAAATCTGAGGGATTTACAGTAATTGTTTGTTGTATGTGAGGTATCTGATAAATGTGTAAATTTTTGTGTCATTTTCTCAGTATAAAATTTTAATATTGATACATTTGAGACTGACCCTCAATTAACTTGCTATCTATAGCACAAAAGATATCTTTTGGATTGCCTATGATAGCATCAAACAAAACCCACAAATTAGCCAAAATGCCACTTACAATACAAATGCTGTAACTACTATAGATTTCCAATGAACAATACGCATGTCCTAGAGCAGTGGGAGCATTTTGTTCAAGAAGCCAATGGGGCCAAAATACTTCAAGAACCTTGGAGTGCAACCAGTGCTAGCCGTATCTGCAGTCAGCACTTCCAAACAGAAGATTACACATTCCCTCCTTCTGTAAATGGCACATGCCAATTAAAAAAGAATGTCATACCATCAAGCAGTCCTAAGTCCAATGATGCAGCAACCAGGTTGTATGCAACAATCCCAACAACATAAGATGTAGGCTAGATATGTCCAACAAAAGACCAACCCCTCCAACCGATTTGGAAAACCAATCGCCCCCAGAAAAAATTGCCAGGAATGGATCAAAAGAAGAGGAAAGAGATCAGTTGGAAGCAAAACTTAGACAGAAAATACGAAACTTACAGCAGCAATTACGAAGATCAAAACAGTTCAAGTATGCAATTCGCAAGATGTTGATGAGAAACGCCATCACCGCATCCAAATATGCCAACTGCGTGGATTTTACTGGCTGTAACAACATCATTCCGATATTCCATATCAGAAAACCCAAGAAATCAAAAGAGATTATCAACGAGGCCCCTGTTTCCAGAAATTATTCGAGTGACGTACTATCCATTTGTGAACATTTTAGCGAAGGCGGCCATAGTGAATTTACCTCAAATGTACTGTTCTACATCGCAGGGTACATTGTTTTCAAACTTGTAAAGAACCTAGCTTGCCCAGCATGCAAAAAGAGCCTCCTTCCTCTGCCAAAAGAACTGCCTGCAAATGGACATGATTACACCTCAACGATATGTCATGAAGCAGGAAAGGCATCAGCATTCACAACATTCGTCAACAAGGGTGGTTTGCAGATCCCATCAACGTATGTGTTTCGAACGGTTGAATACTGCAACTGTTACGGGCAAAGACGGTAAACAAATAAGTAAAGAGGGAAACTTGAAAGAAAAGATGATCGTAAACGTCTTTCAACATTTCACGATTGACTCAACATCCGCGCTGTTCACAGATCATGAAGATGACGACGACGAAATTCTTGTGGACGATCACAGAACAAATTTATTAAAACGTGTCACAGACAAATATTTCACGTTGCGGCTGTTCAACTTTGGCAAGAAATATGTGAAAGAGGTTGTAAATGAGGGGAAACAAAGTGACAGACACTTGTTAAATAAAATTACGTTGTTCAATAATTATTAAATGCAAATACTATGTTAAAATAAAAGCGTTTACCCACTTGTTTCGATAAAATCTTCCACAGCATAGTGTTGTTCGTACAAATATTATTGTCATATTTGCACATCGCCAACTTGTTTCGTTAATAGAATTTGTTTCCTAGCCGATCGGCAACTCCAATTGTACAACATTCCACTCAGTTGAACTTAAGATTAATCCATTATAGTCCAAACAAAAGAACATTCAATTAAAAACATAAAACAAAAAAATTCTTCGGATCGCTCTGCTCGCTCATTCTTCATGAATAAAAGCACGCTTCGCGGCCTTCGACCCCCACAGTGATCTCGCGAGTCACGCGCGAATGAAGCCAAAAATTTGCCAAAATTTGCGAGACTTTACCTCCAGACACGCGTGTCCCGCAAATTTTGGCTTCACAAAAACAATGAGGAGGTATTGTTCTAGTTATTTATTATAGTTCACTGGTGCATACTCGATAAGAATCTCCTTCATGTCCTTCTTGAGCATGTGTTGAACCATATACATGAACATCGATCTCAATGCCTGCACAAGCTCATTTCTAAACAGGTGAACTCTCAAAACCCAAACAAATGTGAAAAGAGAATCAATATATCAAGCGGTCGAACATAAGTTCGGTGATAACGATAAAATATACCTTTAATATCCCGTTTTGTTGGAGATTTAACATTAATTATCACATTTTGAATTTGATTCACAACACCACCTATCATGCCAACACCGTACATGGTGATTACTCCATAAAAGTCTCTCCCCTTTTTTATTTATACTTTTAACTACACGTGTTTTTTACATTAAATACACATGCTTTTTAATAAAGACACCATTGCCATCATCATTATCATCATCATTCATATTTATTGTTATTAATGAATACCCTCGACTTATTTGCTTTTACTGAATATGCTTCAAAAACATATACTCGATAATATATACTAGAAATACATGCATGCAGCAACCCCTCGCCATTTTAAACGAAGTAAAATATTTTGTGCGCTACCTAGACCTAACTTTCTACGCTAATATTATGAAAAAACTCATGCAAATTTTTCGGAAACAAAGACAGTCGTAAAGGTGAAGAGAAATCACCTGTTTGCCTGCTGCATTACCTTGCAGTTTAAGTGAGTGTTAAACTTTTCTATAGCTAAACCTTCAAAACATCAAAGCAGCACAAATAATTATTATAACCATACAAGCACTAAACGTCGAATGTTGTTTTTCGATTATTTATATTATTCAATGATTTTAGCGACTATATAAGCTGCAAAGTTTTATCAAAACTCTGAAGTACACTTTTGAGAACTTTTTTAAAGTTAAGGCGATGATGTAAAGCCTTGAACGGTCGGTTAGCTCCTTGTATTAAAACGACATACCAAGCTCGTACTTGTCAAAATAACAATGCATTCTTACAGCAAACACTGAATAAGCAAAATATAGACACCTACCACTTCAAAGATTATAAACTACGAGTCGTTCCTAGTTCTTCAACTGTTTCTGTGCTGTGATGATCTTTAAATCTTTTATCCCCGAGCCGGTGCAGAGCACCGTGCGAGGGTACTAATTCCGCCCGGAGATTAGGAATTACACCCGGGTATTCTGACAGAACATAGGCGAATCCAAAGTTGCCCAAATGTCATGGACGTTCAATGGTCATTTTGCTCACGCGCAAAATTTGAACGAGTGACGACTGGTAATTAGCAACGTGCTGATTGGCTAAAACGAAACGTTCGTGTTTCGGTGAAAAATGTCAGCAATTTAACTGTCATTTTGCAAACTATTTTTTTAAAAAAATGTTTCAAAAACACAATATGAAATGTGGAATTAAATAACAGATAAAACACTGGGAAGAGTTTAAAATATTATCAGAACTGGAAGAATTAGCGGTGAAAAGGAACAACTGGTTTATAATCCTTGAAATGGTAGGAGTCTATTTTGTTTATTTCGAGGTTTCTTTCGTGTTTGCTGTACGAATACATTTTATGACCTTGGTACAGTATGTTGTTTTGCTCGGTTTTGCGAAGACGTGACCGACTATTTAAGGCTTTACATCATCGTTTTAACTTCAAAAAGAGTTCTTATTTATATTATTTGTGCTCTTTTGATGTTTTGAAGGTTTAGCTATAATGGAGTATTAACTCTCACTTAAACTGTGAAAGTCTATAACTTAATGCAACGGAAAGCAGCAGGAAAAC